AATTAATCTCCTATTTGTTCATTTTTCAGCTCATGAGTCAAATTAAACTTCATAAAATGATCCCTAAATGAATATTGATTTTAAAGATTGCATTAACAATAAAACATTCTCAGAGGAATAATAAAGAAAAAAACATCTTTATGACTAAATGTTTTTTTTTCCTGCTGTAGAATAATTGGGCTGCAGCTGAGTCTTGGTGGTCAGACGTCCTCCTCTTCACCGCACTCGCTTTAATTCATGCGTTCAACATTCTGCAGAGGCTGTGAGCGTGAAGTATTAAATCCATGAATCCTGCAAGATTGAGATAAATTCTAATTTCTGAAATAATCCTTCACCTTTTGATCAAATTAAGGAAAATATTAAAAAACTATAACAGAACGTTGCTTTTAATAATAATAAAAAAACAAATAAATGTTTATTGCAGTTTACCTGTTTGTGCTAAATTATCTTAAAATCTGTGCCTGAACTCATTTCACTTTTCTGAAAGATGTAAAAAAAAAAATAATAAAACAAAATTCTTTAATGAGAGACTAAATTAACACTCTCCTTTGCAAACGTGAAAACAAAGTGGCCCTAATAACCTTCCATGTTGGACCCATTTGTGTCAAAATGTAATGAAATAAATACATTTCTCTCACCGGATCACATGATCTGGTCAAGTGAGACTTTTTATTAATAATAATAATAATAATAATAATGTGTCTCTTTTCACTGCAGCACTTCGTATGAACCTGCTGCTGCTTTTACGTTCAATAAAAACTAACATTTTATTCTTCAACACTGGGGAGATCAAATATCAAATTCACAGGCTGCTTCTTGCAAAATTGCATAATACAGTTGGAAGAATCACGACAAAATAACAAGAGAACTTCAAAAACACATAAAAGACGTTTATGTCCACGCTCCAACGGACTGATTGTCTAAATGTTTTCTCGTAAATTAAATAGTGCATCTGAGCTGCTTTCTCTCACGCGCACACACTCTTTAGAACACACACACACACACACTCATGCACGTTTGATCAAAGGGGCCCTTCAGAAGAGGAAAGTCTTCAAGGAGCTTATAGAGAACCTGACAAATCCCCCAACACTCCACCAAGTCTCCCGATCCCCCGTTTGCTTCCTGGTCAGCAGATTTGTTCCGTGCCCGTGATCAAAGGTGGTGAGAAGTCAGGCTCAGAGTCCCAGGACCTCTCACCGCTTGACCCGAGGTAGAAGTTAGGCCTTCCCTTTGCACGAAAACATCGTGTCCTCACAACACCTGGAACTTCCAGGCTGCTTGGTCTTTATAATCCAAACAGTCCGAGTTGAAGTTGAGCTTCCACGACGAGGAGGTCTGGTCCTTATAGTCCAGGCAGTCCGCGGCGCCGGTGAAGCCGAGTCCTGCCGCTCCGTACGCCGACGAGGAGAGCGTCGACACCGGGCTCAGGTGGCCGGAAACCCCGCCGCCGCCGCCCATGGGGCTCATGGCGGAGCCGGAGAGCTGGTGGTGCATCGGGGAGATGTAGGAGCCGCAGTCCAGACCGGTGAAGTAGGAGGAGGGTGGGGTGTAGCCCTGGTTGTAGCCCGCCGCCTGGGTGTAGGTCATGGGGTAGGAGCGCTGCATGCAGGAGGACGAGGACGTGGACAGAGGGTCGGAGAGGGGGGAGATGGAGGCCGGGCTCCAGATGGAGGCGGGCGCCGCGCTGCCGCTCACGGCGGGGAGAGCGGTGCTGGGGGGAGGCGTGAACTGTCCGCTGGCGCCGCTCTCGGAGCTGGCCTCCCGGACCGGAGAGGCTTTCTTCTTCACCGGTCTGCTGGCGGACTTGTTCTGGACTCCAGTCTGGGTCTGCTGGGCCTGCTGACGATGCTTGGCTCGTCGGTTTTTGAACCAAACCTAAAAGGAAAATAGATTCATGAAAAATAAAAAATAATAATAAATCGATTTGCCCTGAAAAAAATAATTCTGCAAGAATGATAAGAAAAACGTGCGTTTCAGTCCAAGGATCAACTTTCAGAGCATAAAGGGTTAAATGATTTGTCTAAACATCCTGATGATCAATAATCCAAGTAGGAAAAAAATCTAACGGACTGATGAAGTCTTCTGGATTAAAGATGAAACGTTTCAACGTTTGTTTTTTGTTTGTTTGTTTGTTTGTTTGAATCCGTCCAGAGGAGCTTAGATTTGTCTAATCGTTGGGCCTTCTCACCACAAATAAAAGGCGAGTTCTGTCACTGCTCAGAGGAAGAATGACATTATTTATAAATTGGATGTTCGTTTGAAAATGGCATTTAGGTCTAATAGATGTAAGGTTCTTCACAAAAATGGTGAGAAGGTCAATTTATATATATATATATTTTTTTAACTTAAAATATGTCTTAAATGGGTTTAGATCAGGGCTATGCAGGTAAAATGCTCAGAGATCCACAGAAAGACAAGAGCTCATGGAGCTGGACATCCAGTTATTCTCATTAAATACGTTTTTTTGTAGTTTTATTTAAAAATGAACCCGTTGGTGGACCAAACTGAGCTCACCTCTGGGCCTGATTTGGCCCCGGTCCCACCAGTTGAACAGCCCTGGTTTAGAACCACTCTGAATTCAGGGGGGTGGGTGACTTGACCTATTGGACCTTCTCACCTCAAATAAAAAGTGAGAATGTCCAATCCTCACACTTTGATTAGAAAACTCAGTGGTTCAGTTTTTGGCTCAAACTGACTGAACTCAGGATGTTCAGACATTTTGGTCTAAATAAACCTTCTCACCACAAAAAGGGCGAAGAAATCAATTTCTCTGACTCTGATCATTCAGACTAAGGATGCTCTAGTTGGTGGACCTCCTCACCTTCTCTGTGGTGAGAAGAATCATGACTCACATGGATTAAAAGACTTTGTGGTTCGGATCTTGTCTCAAACTTACTTGTACTCTGGATTCCGGCAGGTTGATCTTTAAGGCCACCTCTTCCCTCATGAAGATGTCCGGGTACCGAGTCTTGGCGAACAGGTTCTCCAGCACGTCGAGCTGGGCCCGAGTGAAGGTGGTCCTCTCCCGCCTCTGCTTGCGAGGAGCTGCTGACATTAAAGAAACAACACTTAATCTGATCCAGAGCCAGAATACGACCCTCCTGTTTCTCCTTCAGGGATGTTACCTTGGTATCCCACTGAGGGGTGCAGCAGGTCCACTCCTGAGCTGGAAAGGCTCAGTCCGTTCATCGCGTACGGAGGTTGCTTCAGATAGGACATCAT